TTTCCGCAGTCCAGCCAGCGTATCCCCTCTTCTCGCTCCCCACTGTTTGCTGCATGATCCAGTCAATACAGTCAATACTGTAACTGTTAAGTCGTAAGGTCCTTAGACTGATCAGTGTCTGTCGATCTAGTTTGCCATGTTATGACCCGAATCCGTAATGCACTGAATTTGATGATCAATGTTAATACTTATTTTCAAGAAAGTCTTGGATTTAGGTTTTGCGTTTGTTGATATGCATACACTACCATGAAACTAGGTGTGTCTCAGTCAGTGGAACCTACTTCACTCAATACCGAAGTCAAAGACTCCATGTGAATTTTCTATTCTATCAAGTTTTCGGGCTTTATTTCATTCATTTGCAATAATCATGTCACACAAGACTTAGTTTTATTATTATTATTATTATTTGTCCCTTGGGTTCCTAATGGAACATAAGGCTTCACTAGCACGTCTCCAGTGAAATGTGTTCTCTGCAACCTTTCGAACCTGGCTCCACGACAGCCCATAAGCTCTCATTTCTTCCTCACACCATCTCCTCCATGTCACCCTAGGATGCTCAACTCAAACATAGTTTTAGTAGAACATTATTCTCTTTTAAATATACCAAAGAATTCTGGTATTCACCTTTTTAATATACAGATATTCTTGAATAATACGCTGGGTAATAGCAGTAGTAGTAGTAGACGAACTTGTATGATACCGCTTTTTTATTACATTATTTAACAGTTAAGTATTAGTCCACTGATGAACTAAATCTGACTCAACTAACCATGGGAAAAGCAACAAGTGTTTTGATATTAAAATGTCAAAATACTTTGGGAAAAGCTAATCACTTTCTGAAAAAGATTACTAGAAGTTATCTGGTCATGATGTCGTAAGGAAACCTTGCGATGCAATTACAAGATATGACGTAATTTGCTAGAGTTATAATAAATGATATGTCAAATAAATCCTTTCTTGTATACAAGCTACACCACACTTCGTTTTTTCATCACACAGCCCCTATCAGAATATTACGATAAAATGATGTTTAGTGACATTTCCCAGGAAGTGTTTGACTTCTAAAGTATTCGTAAACAAACATAAAACTTCCACTATGTTTTTCTAATTACCATTTAGCTACGAAAGTAACTTACGTAATTATTATACTATATAGTTTAATAATCTAAACTTTAATTGTTAAAACGTGAAGTAGTTCAACATGGTAAATTGTTATCATTGTAGATAACAATGGCCAGGTTCGTATTGTGATATTACAATAGATTGGCTTTCAGTTTAATAAAAATTTATAGTTCATTGTCGCTTACAAAGTTGAAAAAAAATGGGACACATCCAAGCTACGTAGTTAAATGAGAATTTTTTTAAAGTTGAATTTATTGCATGATGATAACAAAGTTTAAATTTCTGATGAAATTCTACAAATGAAGTAAGTGATAGAAGCATTAAACTAAGGGAATCAACAATGTAATACATTCTATCCTGAATATGGTATTTGAAGTTAACCAACGTGACTGTATTTCTATTCGCTATGAATTCGTACAGGTCTAATTCTATATTAGATTTGTTTATTTGATTTATAACCCATAATGTGATATAGTATTATGTACTGGATGACGTTTCAAGCATAAATTATTATCGCTCATAATCATTTCAATGTAAACACACCATATCCGGTTTTTATAGTCCTGTCACCTCATATTCTTTGTTTTCATTGGTGGCAAAAAATTTCATATTTTTCGCATAGCTGCTGCGTCATTTCAATCACATGTGTTGAGTTGGTGTAGATTCAATGAAGAAAGATTCACTAATCAATCCCTCCTTCCACCTAATTATATTGGACTCAAATATAGAAGTTTTATCTTCTCCGATTATATGATTATGAGTTAATCCATACACTGTAGTAGCCGATATCTTTTCTAGACTATTGACCTTATTTAGGTCTGTCATTCTATATTTAACTATCTCCCTATGTTCCCGTGATCTTGCTGACACCGACCGGCTAATTCGACCAATATACTTGACCTCTAAGTTATTAAATGGAATTTGGTAAATTACATTAGTTTGCTTAATTGGTTCTATCGGATCCTTAAGTCAGGTGACAAAGCTTATCTGTGAGTGCATTTTTAAGCTTAAATACCACCCTAATTCCATCTTTTTTGAGGATCCTACGTTAAGTTTTTGATATACCTTCCTTATAGAGTAACACAATGGAGGCTTTGAACTCCTTTCTAATCGTGTAGGTTTACTTACAAAACTGAAAATCCTTCAAACTGTGTTATTTAGTTTCGAAGACTAAGACATTATCACTAAACTTTTAATAAAATATATGCTGTAAAAACATTTATGTGATAACCATAACTTCTTGACAGACGATTGCAAGACTCTAATGTTAAACACCCTCATTAGCTTTTAATTTATGTACCATAAAGTTAAATTGTATGTAATATAGTCATTTCTGTTAAACACGGTAAATACATGTGGTATATCAAAAGGTTAGTGGACGGATACGAACTCTGGTGGCAAAGTAGCTTTGATTAAAAACTCTTAACCTTTTTTGTTAATTTTATGACTAAAATTTTATATTATCACCTGAAGTTAAGGATACAGTTTTTACATAACCTCAAGACATGCGCTTAATCAATATTTCATTGAAGGACTCGTTTTAATAGACACCATTGGATTTCAAGGAAGAGTAAATTTCTCAAGACTGTATGATTCAGTAAATTCTCTCAAATTTTGTAAGATGTACGTTTTCAATGGATATGAGTCAGTAATGATGATTACTACTAACGAGTACTATTCGACAACGTAGTCACTAACCAAAGCCATACATAGACTGATTTATTTTCGGCACAAAGTCTGCCCCATTGTGCAGTTCTAAACACTGAAATCTTGCATTCGATGCATTCTGATAACAGCTGTGGCTTGTCAATGATAATACTTGATGATCAAGCATAAATTCTGCAAAAATCAAATGCTGTGAAACAGACTTATACGTGTTAAAAAATGTACCCCTCAACGGCAGTACTCAGAAGTTATCATGAATAGAGGAACGATAAGAAGAACCTAGAAGCTTTGAATTTCGCCAACGATGGTGATTTATGTTCAATGTCTTATGCAACACAAGCTCGAAGATCGTTTAAAAAAACACTAAAAAGTTGGTAGAAGAGGCAGGACAGTGAAGACAGGCCTTCAGGGGAGCATAGAGAAGACAGAGGTGATGAAGATACACAACCAACAACAAGCACCAATCACCATGAACGGGAATAACTTAAAGAAAAGTGTCTCTTCACCTACCTACCTACCTACCTACCTACCTACCTAGAAAGCAACGTCTCTACTACAGGCGGAGGTGGCACAGGCACAGATGACGATGTCAAAGCCAGGATAGGAAACACAACAAAACAGGCCTCACTTCATCAATCTGAAACCATTCAATGTGGAGATCTACTGCACTCCACACCACTCAGCATAAACCGTGAACAATATCCGGATTCTCAACACTAATATCAGTCAAGTGAGTCAGTGCTTCTATGTGATGGTTGACAGACTTGACACGTCACGAAAAGCATTTCCATCAGACTGCAGACATGCATCATCAACAGCTGCCACCTACACTCACTCAATACTAACTAACACTGAAGATCAGATGGTCAGAAGGAATGAGTAAGAAGGAAGTGACTGTGGCTGGCTGGCTGGCTGGCTGGCTGGCTGGCTGGCTGGCTGGCTGACTGACTGGCTGCCAACGAACCAATCAACAACCTATCATCCATTCAATATGGAGAAGAATTGTATTGGACATAGTGTTCCACTAGGAACCCAAAGGACAAATAATAATATAATAATTTATGTGTTCAGTATTCTGAATCATCTCATGATGTATCTTACATACCATATAGTAATTTATCTTTCAATTTATATTAATACAAAGAAACAATGACGACAACACATTGTTAAGCTAGCAGTCATATTGAACAGGTTGGATAAAATGAAAGAGCATGGAAAACAACGACAACGGTAAGTGAAAACCGAGTAACTTGAACCTTCATTAGTAATGTAATAGAATAGATCATATTTTTGCCTACATTCTAGACACGTCAGATAGCTGAGTGAAACCATATGTCTAGTGTGTATATATATTGTGTACGATGCAAATATGTTGATTACTGTCAGCTATTTTGTTCATCGAAGAAAAAGAAACAAAAGAAGTTTTGGGGGTTTGTGGGAATTTAGAGAAATCTTAAGTTGGTTTTCATTATGGACTGATATCAGTTGGAGGAACATTAGAAACCCTGGGAGCACTGGACAATTACTTCCTCATGGTATCGGGCTCCTCAACAGTGCACACGCATGACCTAGCCCCACTATGGATCGAACCCGCGACCTCCAGGTTACGTGGCCAGCATGTTACCATTGGAGACACTGGGTCTGAACTTATTGGTGACTAGCTTCGACAGGTGATTCCTGAAGTTTCAATAAGAAATCATGTCCATTGGAGTCAACCAAGTTGAACATGAGGACAGTTACCCAGAGATGAAATTGGATGTAGGTCATGCCATATCGTGAACTGACAGAAGTTAAAAGTATGGACCATTGGATTCCGACCCAGTGACTCAGTGTTAACGTACTGGCCACGGAACCTGAAGGTCGCAGATGCCCCTTGCTGTGGACTCCTATACTAGAAAGGAACAGCCGTCTAGTGCTCCCAGGTTTCAAATGTTCCTCCAATTGATGTCAGTCCATGATGAAAACCTACTTAAAAAGAAGTCTTCATCCACTTGGAATTCATTACAGCGAAATTCTATGGAATACAATTGAATTCCTTTCTTTTAAGAGTCAACTAGTTTGTTGATGTAAGAAGTACAAATCTAGTGGACTATCATTAAGGTGAACGTAAACATTTGTCCATAGAGGATCAATATGTGACAAAACAGGGTATATATATATACACTTAGTTTATTTGAAATAGTCAAATATTTTATATCATAGCTACTACTTACTTGGCTGGTTGAATAGCTGATCATATGTTGAAATAAAGTTATCAATAATACTTGAATACAGATTTTCTAATTTATTTACCATTACTTTCTGATTTCTTTAAATATATATACAAACAATATTCTGATAATCTTAAAATAGTTTTTAAACCAATATAATTTATAGTAAGATGATTGTGAATCGAATTTCTTTCAAAAGTGTTTTAAGAATTGTTGGTAGTAAATGTGATTTACTATTGTATTTGACAAAACTAAGATTAATGTTTTAATGGATCAAACATCTTTTTATAAGGTTTAGTTGATGAAATAAAAGAGGAAATATCATTTGAAGTTCCAGTTGAATTAATATTCATAGTACATGTACATTTAACTGTGGTATCATTGAAATTCTTTTCATAGATTATTTCATCTTTATTATGTGTAATTTTTAATGAAGAAGATATTGGTGTGAATTGAAATCCAAGGAAACTTGGTGAATCAAAGAAAAGTTGCTCGTTTTTTAAATAATTCTTCAAAATCTTATTGCTTAAAGATACTTTCTTACATCTTTTATCATGTAACCATATCTTTTGTGAAACTAGTTCATTCATCATAGACTTATTTGTGTTAAAATTATCTTCTTTATGTGTATTCATTTCATTGACATGTTGATTTGTAGATGAATTTTTAGAGGAATCCTTAATAATATGATTATTTCTCCCCTTATTGATTTCTTTCACTTGTTCTACATGGCTTTTTGCAGCTATTAAATCCACTTTAGCCTTACGATATACACCACGATTTCGTGTTGTATTTAGTATAATCATATCACAAAGTACAGTGGCTATACCAAGAAGTGCTAAACCAGAGCCTAAATTCATTGAAAATGTAAGTATATCAAATTTACCTCCAGTTCCATAGACTGTTATAAAAAACTGTATCCCATATGCTTTAATTAGATTACGTTTACGTATACCACCATCAAGGTAATGCTGACTTAGTCGAAAATTCCATCCTTTAGCTACTTCACTTTGAAAATCATCGAGACGACGAAAAACATATTTAGGTAAACAATATTCTTTATCAAAATCTAAGTTACAATTCCATTCAATGTGAATAGATACCATACCTCCAGTCTCCCAGATGTCTTTATTAACTGAACCAGAATATTTCAATATATCACCAAGACGAAAAATGGGACAGTATTTAAGCTTTTCATCGTTTGGATTATATAAACAAGTTTTTAAGAATAAACTATTCATCCATTTTAGTATATTTCTACGTTTTACTCGATACCGTGGAAATTCAATGCTATTTTTCAATATCACAGTAAAATTCTCAGCTGATGCTAACAGATGTGGTCTAGGAATGATATCATGCTCTGTAGGACACCATCCATATATTTCACAGACACTTAAGTTTGCTTGTCTCGTAGAATTTACACACCGTCCAGTTTGTATTCCACTACCTCGTAGAACTAAATGTCCAGCTTGACATTGTGAATCATTGTAACAACTGTTTCCAAGTACATCATGTGCTTCTTCACAGCGTCCCAATGTCTGGCCGGGTGTATAAACTAAGTTGGTCATTACAAAAAATGCGGAGTTCTGTTGTGGCGGTATTACATAATCAGCTGCATCCCAAACAGTAGCACCAAGTTGAGAATTACTTGTCACATTGGCAAATGCTACACCTTTCAGCTTTGCCGTTACTCCACTCACTGCTCGGTCGAATGACTGATAGCCTTTTTCATATATCATAACCCATAATATGACGTAGAGAATTATTCCCAATTGTATAAGTCTGAATGTGATACCAATTTTTTTGGAATGAATTTGTACTACTTTCTGGGTTTCATACTCTAATAATCCACTAGCTAGTCTTTTTATAAATCTCATTGTCAGATTGTCAAAAGGCTTTCAATGTTTAAGAATTCTTGGATGAAGAAATGAGAAATCAGAGCGTAGTCGTTAGCGTATGCTACGTCCGTAGGAGTCATGGACTTAGTTTTATCACGGTTATCGCTCAAATAGTTTTGTTCCTAGCTTACTAAGAGAATCCTTACATATCCTTACAATATTTGTTTAATCTATCCACCTAGAAATATTGCTATTGGTTAGTGAAGAAAACCAATGACATTTTAACTATTTCAATGAAGAGAAGTAGTGACATTAAATAAATTGTTTTAACATCAACTGCTTACTTACTAGTAATACAATAACATTCGTAAGACTCCTCGTAGAAAGCTACTGTGCAAAAGTATCATTCTGATGAGACAAAAAACTGATTAACATGATGATTAACTGATATGCTTTTCTTTGTACCTGGCTTTACGTCTTGGTCTCTGTAGAGCTTTGGGAATTCAGTAAAACAGTCATGCTCAGTTTACATTCTCATTATATAAATGTACTTATAAGATCCCAACGAAATCAAAAGGTGAACCTCATGTAAACCACTTCTTCAGAAAATCCAAACTTTAAAGATGACCATTTCTCGGAGAAGAGAAAGTGAAAAATCACAACACATTGCTCGTACGTACCAAATCAAATCATATAACTATCAAGTGATAAAACACTTAGTTAACGTTATGATGTTTAGCGTAGCAAATTAGCGTGAATATTGAGTTGGGTACTATTATATTATTATTATTAGTCCCTTCGGCTCCTAATGGAACATAGGGCTTCACTAGCACGTCTCCAGTGAACTCTGTTCTCTGAAATCTTTTCAACCTGGCTCCAAAACAGCCAACAACCTCTCACTTACTCCTCACACCATCTCCTCCATGTCACACTCGACACCGACGTCCAACTCGTCGCTTCCCATCGGGGTTCCACTCGAGTACCTGGCCTACCGCGTGATGTCCTCAGTCAGCCTTCTCAGTGTATTCCCAATCAAGTCCATCTCCACTTCCTTCCAGTGCACATCTGTTCAGCGATAGCTTCTTGGTTGGTTCGTTCACACAGCTCCTTGTTGCTTATTCTCATTATTCTGGCAATCCATCTGATCTTCAGTAGTGAGCCAGCGTAAGCAGTTGTTGATGAATATCTGCAGTTTATTGGAAATCACTTTCGTAACACGCCAAGTCTCTCAACCATAGAGAAGCACTGACTTACTTGACGTTGGTGTTGAAAATCCGCATCTTGTTCCACATGCTGAGTGCAGTGCAGAAGATCTCCACACCCGTTTCAGGCTAATGAACGCCTGTCTTGCTGTCTTTCGGATCCTGGCTGACTTTGACATCCTCGTCTGTGCCTGTGCCACCTGTGGTTGAAACAGTGCTTCCTAGATAGGTGTAGGTGAAGGAGGTTACTTGCTTTAAGTTTCTGCCGTTCATGGTGATTGGAGTTTGTTGTTGTTGGAGTTGTTGGTGTGGTATCTTCATCACCTCTACCTCTGTCTTCTCTATATTCACTTGAAGTCCCGAATTCCTTCACTGCCCTGCCCTGCCTCTTCTGTCAACTTGTTAGTTTTCGTCTGTAGATCTTCAAGTTTGTGTGACATCAGACACAAGTCATCACTGGCGAAATCCAGATCTTCTAGTTTCTTTTCCACAGTCCAGCCAGCGTATCCCCCTCTTCTCACAGCTCCCCACTGTTTGCTGCATGATCCAGTCCAGTCGACTTCTATCAGGAATATCATGGGGGATAGTAGACAACCTTGTTTCACTCCTGTCTTCACTTCAAAAGCATCATTGAGTTGAGCTGTCCATTGTGAATTACTGGCATGTGGCATCTTCACATAGTTGTTGAATGAGGCGGATAAACGTTGGCGGTACTCCGTAGTAATGAAGCAGTTTCCAAATTACCTCTCGGTCGACGCTGTCAAAGGCCTTCTCAAAGTCGATAAAGTTGAGGTAGAGAGCTGATTACCATTCTATACTCTGTTCTATGATGATGCGTAGTGTAGCGTTGCAATTTGGTCTGCACATGATTTGTACTTCCTGAAGCCAGCCAGCCTGCCTGTTCCGGTCCTAGTTTTGAATCCAGTGCATTGTTTAGTCTCTCCAGGATGATGCGGCTTAATATTTTGTTTGCTCTTGGTGGACAGGATAGTGATTCCACGCCAGTTCTTGCAAACACTGAGGTCTCCCTTCTTTGGCAGTTTGACAAGGTAACCCTTCTTCCAATCAATGGCCAGGTACCTTCTCTTCCTTCCACACCTTCTGCAATAGTGGTGTGGTGTGAGCACGTCCACTGTTGTTTCTGCGTCTGTCCTCAGTGCTTCTGGTGGGATCCCATCTAGTCCTGCTGCTTTCCCGCATTTCAGTAGCTTTATGGCGTTCATGACTTCCATTTTTGTTGGAGGATTTATGTTCACTTGTAGTTCAGTGGCTGCAGGTGGTATTTCTGGACGAAGTGCAGGTGGTGGTCGATTCAAGAGCTTCTCGAAGTGGTCGGCCCATTGTTTCCTTTGTTTCTCTTCTTTCGTAATTAGATTTCCGTCATCATCTTTTATTGGTTTAGTCTGCGTTGATCTCTTCCCTCCCAGATAGTAACCTGGTTATTTGATACAATGTTGTCAGGTCTCTCCTACCTGCGGCAGCCTGTTCTGCTTCACTTGCCAGTGTTTCGTAGAAGTATCTCTTGTCTTTCTGTGCACTCTTCTTTACTTCTTTGTCCAGTGTTGTGTTTTATATATTGTACTCAGTTCCTCTTGTCGTTGAGCATCCTTGCACTGCACTGGTTTATCTTCTGCTTCACCATCCTCCCATCCTCTATCAGCTTCCAGGTATCCATTGAGATCCATTCCTTGTCTTCTTTCTTCTCCTTCCTAATACTGTTGTGCAGGTTTCTTTCCACATAGCTTTCAAAGACTCCCAGTGTTCTTCCACACAGGTTTCTTCAGGGATGTTCCTCGATATCTCCCATTTTGTCTTGATGGCTGCCATGAACATTTCCTTTGTAGTTTCATCCTTCAGTTTCCGAGTGTTGTACTTGAATTGGGGTCTATCACCAGCTTCCTTGAAGGCTTTTAACTTGATTTGGAAGGCAGGTTCCTTGCACTAGATGGTGAGTAATGTGAACCTGCATCTGCTCCTCCTCCTCTTGACCTCGTGTCAAGTAGACTGCGTCTCCATTTTCTTGAGATTGAGATAAAGTTGATCTGATTTTTAGTGTGTCTGGTGAAATCCATGTCTCTCGCTTTGTGGATATCCTTGTACTTGAACACACTGCCTGACTCCAATCACCAAATCGTTGAATGCACAGAATTCTGCAGATAATTCTCCATTCTCGTTCATTTCACTTAGCGCTCCTCGACCCATGGTTAGCTATCTTCCTGTGTTGTCCCCTCCCAGTTTGGCGTTCATGTCACCCATCAGAATTTTGATATCGCCAACTGAGGTCTTGTCCAGTTTTGATTGCAGTTGTCTGTATAATTCCTCCTTTTTCTCTTGCTCTGCATTATTCGTAGGTGCATAACATTGTATGATTGTGACCTTTCTTCCTTTTGAGTTGAACCTTGCTGTCATGATCCTGCAGGAGGAGATTGGTTCCTACTGCATGAGAGCCTTCGATGCTGTTGGGGACATCATGATAGCCACTCGAAAACTCAGTGTGCTCGTGGTTGTCGTCTGAGTGACAATATCGGAGTAGATTATTGATTCTCCAGTTGACATTTTGGAGAGTCCACTCCCATTCCATCTGCTTTCGCAAATTCCTAGCACTTCAATGTGATGTCTTGTCATCTCGTTAGCAATCTGGACTGCCTTACTGGGTTCAAACATAGTGCGGACATTCCATGTCCCCACGTTTACTTTCGCTTTCATCTAGGGAGAGAAGATACATCGGCCAATTGGCTTCCTGAAGACAGGCTTTTACCAACTGGCGTCATTTCGTCTCTCCGATTCCAGCGAGGAATAATTTTGTTATTATTTTTTATATTTTGTTTGTGCTTTGAAGTTTGTTTAGCGGTTAGATTTGTTTTACAGGGTAGGGTTGCTAGCCCTATGCCCAACCTTCTCTGTTTAGCGGGCTTGCGGCTAGTAACTAGTGTACTAGTTAGCCAGGCGAGGTTGAGTTGGCTACTAGTTATCATAAAAAGTAAGCTCTATGAATGAGCTATTCAGTTTGTGTATTTCAACATATATCTAAAAGAGAAAGCTAGTCATGAAGAATCTGCAGGTTTTCCGTACTATCGGAGTGACTTTAGAGGTGGTGACTTTAAAGAACACCCTAACAACAACTGAAAAAGTCAATTAGACTTCTATATTTTATGAAAACTTGCCTTTCCAACAGAAAGAAGGGACCTAGTCAGTTATTTCGATTGTTGCTAAGGTGGCCTTTAAAGTCACAACAGTAACAAGTCATTTCAAAGGATTAATTGTCAAGGCAACCCAGAAAACTGTTGGAGTGACCAATTAAACTTTGACATTTCGACTAGAAAAAGTACTTTTTCATCACATAAAGCATGTAGTCAGCTTATCATCAGTTGCTAGGGTTGGCTTTAAAGACCACCCCAACAACTGTACAGATAACCCAATTAAGTTTCTTTATTTGATGAAAAACTAATCACCTAGGCGAAATATCTGAACCTAATTGGTTATTTCGGCAGTTGCTAGGGTGCCTTTAAAGTTACTCTAATATTCACCTTGAATGACTTTAAAGGCGCCTTAAATAACCCATTCAATTTCTATATTTCATGAAAAAGTACTTTCCAGCCAAAATACGGAAGTTAAATTGGTCATTCCAATAGTTGCGAGAGCTTCCTACAGATAGACTTAGAGTCAATCTACCAACTGGATTCTACAATAAGTGTTAGGGTGAACTTCAGAATCATTCAATTATCATGTGGGTTATTGTGATGTTAGCTTCTTCCTATTATGTTGTGAAGCCTCGTAACCGGTTTCAGTTATACACAGTAGTCGTACGTTGAATATTTCAGGCTGTTTCAGTTTGCGAAATAAACAAAAGTTGAAACTAACATGTGTTAGACCCCTAATTTATCAAATGTGTTAAACTTGCAAATGTCTTTTCTGCTTGCCAATTTGCGTGATGTGAGAAAAGTTCAGATTATGTGTAAAATGAAATGACTTTAAAGGT